ACCCTCCCCCATTACCTATCCTCACTACCCTTCACCCTGCCCCCATTACCTATCCTCACTACCCTTCACCCTGCCCCACTACCTATCCTCACTACGCACTTTACCTACTATAAAGGAGGTAATAAAGCAGATGCAACAAAGTGAAGACCAACAGGTCTTAACTTCACTCATCATAAGAGTCTTTGAAGGAGTGAAGGCGACAAGACCCAAGGGATCCCAACACCTCCCTGACCCTGGCCAACACGGGCTCAGAACAGGGCCGCTCCTGCCTCTCTCACAGTTGCTGGACAACCCTGACGTGGCCTCAGGTGCCGTGGAACACAAGCACAACGCAGACTCTGCAAAAGGTACCTACATATATGACCTTGGTGTTATTGTGTACAACAAGCGTGCAAATTACTGGCAAGGGAGAGAGGTGGATCGTCAACTTCCTAACGACCAGAACGCAGAGTGCAATAGTCAACACATTCAAATCTGGATCATCTACTGTGAAAAGCTCAGCCCCCCCCCCCCCCACAAGGTACCGTGCTTGGTCCGGTACTTTTTCTCATCCTAACATAAGATATAGACAAGGATACAAACTACAGCACTGTATCATCATTTGCAGATGACACGAGGATTGTCACGCGAGTAGACAATATAGAAGACACGGCAGACCTCCAATCTCTTGTAAATCAGGTCTTTCAATGGGCCACAGAGAATATGATGTTAATGGAATTCTTTAATGGAAGATGTTAACGGAAGTTTCAGCTCCTGCGCTGTGGAAACGAAAAATATGAAAACGGAACCCATGTATAAAACAGAACCAAATCACATTATAGAACAAAAATACAATGTAGAAGATGTAGGAGTCATCATGTGAGAAGAGCTTACCTTTACACAAAACCATAAAGTAGCCGTCACGACCGCCAGAACATCAATTGGTTAGGTTAGGTTAGGTTAGGTTAGATTGGATAACAAGGACCTTCTTATGCCGTACCAATCATCATACCTTTTAGGACACTAGTGCTCTCTAAGGTGAAATATTGTTGCACTCTAACAGCCCAATTCAGAGCCGGAGAAATTGCTGACCTAGAGAGCGTGCACAGATTCTTTACTGCAAGAATCCACTCTATAAGTCATCTATATTACTGCGACAGATTAAAAGTTGTAAATCTGTATTCTCTTGAGCGCAGGCGGGAGAGATACATAATAATTTACACGTGGAAAATAGTAGAGAAGCTAGTCCCAAACCTGCACACAGAAATACCACCACATGAGACCAGAAGACATGGCAGGATGTGCAGAATACCCCCGTTGAAGAACAGAGGTGCAACAGGTACTCTGAGAGAGAACTCTATCAACATCAGAGGCCCGAGACTGTTCAACACGCTTCCACTACACATAAGGGGGATAACTGGCCGACCCCTCACAGTGGGAGGGCAGGGACGACATTAGTGTGGGAGGGCTGGGACAACATTAATGTGGGAGGGCTGGGACAACATTAGTGTGGGAGGGCTGGGACAACATTAGTGTGGGAGGGCTGGGACAACATTAGTGTGGGAGGGCAGGGACGACATTAGTGTGGGAGGGCAGGGACAACATTAGTGTGGGAGGGCAGGGACAACATTAGTGTGGGAGGGCAGGGACAACATTAATGTGGGAGGGCAGGGACGACATTAGTGTGGGAGGGCAGGGACGACATTAGTGTGGGAGGGCTGGGACAACATTAGTGTGGGAGGGCAGGGACGACATTAGTGTGGGAGGGCTGGGACAACATTAGTGTGGGAGGGCAGGGACAACATTAGTGTGGGAGGGCAGGGACAACATTAGTGTGGGAGGGCAGGGACGACATTAGTGTGGGAGGGCAGGGACAACATTAGTGTGGGAGGGCAGGGACGACATTAGTGTGGGAGAACTGGGACAACATTAGTGTGGGAGGGCAGGGACGACATTAGTGTGGGAGGGCAGGGACAACATTAGTGTGGGAGGGCAGGGACAACATTAGTGTGGGAGGGCAGGGACAACATTAGTGTGGGAGGGCAGGGACAACATTAATGTGGGAGGGCAGGGACGACATTAGTGTGGGAGGGCAGGGACGACATTAGTGTGGGAGGGCTGGGACAACATTAGTGTGGGAGGGCAGGGACGACATTAGTGTGGGAGGGCTGGGACAACATTAGTGTGGGAGGGCAGGGACAACATTAGTGTGGGAGGGCAGGGACAACATTAGTGTGGGAGGGCAGGGACGACATTAGTGTGGGAGGGCAGGGACGACATTAGTGTGGGAGGGCAGGGACGACATTAGTGTGGGAGGGCAGGGACAACATTAGTGTGGGAGGGCAGGGACAACATTAGTGTGGGAGGGCAGGGACAACATTAGTGTGGGAGGGCAGGGACGACATTAGTGTGGGAGGGCAGGGACAACATTAATGTGGGAGGGCTGGGACAACACTAGTGTGGGAGGGCAGGGACGACATTAGTGTGGGAGGGCAGGGACAACATTAATGTGGGAGGGCTGGGACAACACTAGTGTGGGAGGGCAGGGACAACATTAATGTGGGAGGGCTGGGACGACACTAGTGTGGGAGGGCAGGGACGACATTAGTGTGGGAGGGCAGGGACAACATTAATGTGGGAGGGCTGGGACAACACTAGTGTGGGAGGGCAGGGACGACATTAGTGTGGGAGGGCAGGGACAACATTAATGTGGGAGGGCTGGGACAACATTAGTGTGGGAGGGCAGGGACAACATTAATGTGGGAGGGCAGGGACAACATTAGTGTGGGAGGGCAGGGACGACATTAGTGTGGGAGGGCAGGGACAACATTAATGTGGGAGGGCAGGGACAACATTAGTGTGGGAGGGCAGGGACGACATTAGTGTGGGAGGGCAGGGACAACATTAGTGCGGGAGGGCAGGGACAACATTAATGTGGGAGGGCAGGGACAACATTAATGTGGGAGGGCAGGGACAACACTAGTGTGGGAGGGCAGGGACGACATTAGTGTGGGAGGGCAGGGACAACATTAATGTGGGAGGGCTGGGACAACATTAGTGTGGGAGGGCAGGGACAACATTAATGTGGGAGGGCAGGGACAACACTAGTGTGGGAGGGCAGGGACAACATTAATGTGGGAGGGCAGGGACAACATTAATGTGGGAGGGCTGGGACAACACTAGTGTGGGAGGGCAGGGACGACATTAGTGTGGGAGGGCAGGGACAACATTAGTGTGGGAGGGCAGGGACGACATTAGTGTGGGAGGGCAGGGACAACATTAATGTGGGAGGGCAGGGACAACATTAGTGTGGGAGGGCAGGGACGACATTAGTGTGGGAGGGCAGGGACAACATTAATGTGGGAGGGCAGGGACAACATTAATGTGGGAGGGCTGGGACAACACTAGTGTGGGAGGGCAGGGACAACACTAGTGTGGGAGGGCAGGGACAACACTAGTGTGGGAGGGCAGGGACAACATTAGTGCGGGAGGGCAGGGACGACATTAGTGTGGGAGGGCAGGGACAACATTAATGTGGGAGGGCAGGGACAACATTAATGTGGGAGGGCTGGGACAACATTAGTGTGGGAGGGCTGGGACAACATTAGTGTGGGAGGGCTGGGACAACATTAGTGTGGGAGGGCAGGGCCGACATTAGTGTGGGAGAACTGGGACAACATTAGTGTGGGAGGGCAGGGACGACATTAGTGTGGGAGGGCAGGGACAACATTAGTGTGGGAGGGCAGGGACGACATTAGTGTGGGAGGGCAGGGACGACATTAGTGTGGGAGGGCAGGGACGACACTAGTGTGGGAGGGCAGGGACGACATTAATGTGGGAGGGCAGGGACGACACTAGTGTGGGAGGGCAGGGACAACATTAGTGTGGGAGGGCAGGGACGACACTAGTGTGGGAGGGCAGGGACGACAAAAGTGTGGGAGGGCAGGGACAACATTAGTGTGGGAGGGCAGGGACGACATTAGTGTGGGAGGGCAGGGACGACATTAGTGTGGGAGGGCAGGGACGACACTAGTGTGGGAGGGCAGGGACAACATTAGTGTGGGAGGGCAGGGACGACACTAGTGTGGGAGGGCAGGGACGACATTAATGTGGGAGGGCAGGGACGACACTAGTGTGGGAGGGCAGGGACGACATTAATGTGGGAGGGCAGGGACGACATTAGTGTGGGAGGGCAGGGACGACATTAATGTGGGAGGGCAGGAACGACACTAGTGTGGGAGGGCAGGGATGAGGGCGGCAGGGACAGCAGGACAGGGGCGGCACTAGTGAGGGCGGCAGGGACAGGAGGACAGGGGCGGCACTAGTGAGGGCGGCAGGGACAGGAGGACAGGGGCGGCACTAGTGAGGGCGGCAGGGACAGGAGGACAGGGGCGGCACTAGTGAGGGCGGCAGGGACAGCAGGACAGGGACAGGAGGACAGGGGCGGCACTAGTGAGGGCGGCAGGGACAGCAGGACAGAGGCGGCACTAGTGAGGGCGGCAGGGACAGGAGGACAGGGGCGGCACTAGTGAGGGCGGCAGGGACAGGAGGACAGGGACAGGAGGACAGGGGCGGCACTAGTGAGGGCGGCAGGGACAGCAGGACAGGGGCGGCACTAGTGAGGGCGGCAGGGACAGGAGGACAGGGGCGGCACTAGTGAGGGCGGCAGGGACAGCAGGACAGGGACAGAAGGACAGGGGCGGCACTAGTGAGGGCAGCAGGACAGGGACAGGAGGACAGGGGCGGCACTAGTGAGGGCGGGAGCATACAACATACCTTGTGGGCGGGAGGTAGAGAGAGTGAGAGAGACGAGGGCGGCAGCAGGAAGACGAGGGCAGCAGCGGCGGCGGTGGTGGCGGGTGGTGGTGGCGGCGGCGGCGGGGCGGCGGGTGTGTGTGTGTGGTGTCGACGGCGGCACTGAGGGCCACACACGCCACCACCGCCTGCCACCCCACGCCTCGCACCGCGCACGCCCACCCCGCCTACTCCCTCACCTACGCCCACCATCGATCCCTGACCCACAGCGCCACAGCTCCCAGTCATCGCCCGCTGCAGTCCTGTGCTCCCAGTCAGTGCTCCCGCCACAGCCTCTACCACAGCTCCCGCCACAGCCTCTACCGCAGCTTCTACCACAGCTCCTGCCACAGTGTCTACCACAGCATCTATATGTAATTACCGCCACAGCCGTAGCTGTGGAGTTCCTAGCACAGCCTTCACTACGGCCGAAGTTACTGTCCCTGCCACTGCGGGGAGCACAGCAGCCAGTCACTGCCACAGCCTGAAACACAGCCCTCCTCCGTCAGTGCCAGCACCTCAGCAAAGGACCACCAGGCACCGTTATGCAACAATCACTGCCATAAACGAGTCAGGTACTCGACCTTCACTGCCACAGCTGGGACCACAGCCACGCCTCACTGCCGCCTCTGTGAGACCATGCGTATACCCAGTAGTTACCGCGCCCCCCGCAGCCACAGCGCCCACCAGGCCGCCTCCCACCACCACACTCGCCGCCACAGGACCCACCGCCCCACCCACAGCGCCGCCTCTGCAACACGAAGTCACAGTGTCTACCATCGACGACAAAAGAGGAGTCAAAGTCCACAGAGCAGCTACCAGGAGAGCCCGAGCCCCAGCAGGTCGCAGGAGCGCGCCCACAGGCGCAGCAGAAGCACCCGCAAGAGTCACCGCAAGAGGAGAAGCCACAGCGCTCACGAGCGCTGCCCACACACGCCACCTTCCCCCTCCACCCTCCACAAAAAGCGCAGTGCCAGCCAGCGTCAGAGAGACTGCCGTCGCCAGAGTCAGAGTCCGCACCGCAGACGCCGCCACTGGTACAGCCAGAGTCCGCAGAGTCCGCACCGCAGACGCCGCCACTGGTACAGCCAGAGTCCGCAGAGTCCGCACCGCAGACGCCGCCACTGGTACAGCCAGAGTCCGCAGAGTCCTCGCCAGCGACGGAGCAGAAGTCAGCAGAAGAGACAGCGCCGCAGGAAGAGCACAAGTCCACCACGGAAGCACCGTCCCTGGTACAGTCAGAGTCCCCTCAGTCCTTCTCGGCTAAGACGGAGCCGAAGTTTTCATCAGACATATCGGTATAGGAAGGGTTCGAGCCCTCACAGGAAGCACAGACACTGGTATAGTGAGAGCCCCAAGAGTTCCCGTCAGAGGCGGAGTCGAAGTCAGAGCCAATTCTACCGACGAAGTCACAGCCCGCATCGTAAGCCGCGCCAGAAACGAAGTCACAGCCCCAAGAAGAAACGTCGTCACTGGTTCAGCCAAAGTCCGCCTCTGGACCGGCGTAAAAAGCGGAGCAGGAGCCCCCGTGGCCACAAGAGCCAGAGCCCGCGCCGGAAGCCTGGCCACAAGACCAGCCGAAGTCCCCATCCAAGACACCGCCACAGAAGCCAGAGCCCCTACAAGAGCCCCCGCCAGAAGCACCACTGGTTCAGCCAGAGTCCAGAGAGCAGACCTCGTCAGCGCAGAACAAAGAGAAGCCACCAGAGCTACCGGCAGCGGCGGAGTCAGAGCACCCACCAGAGCTACCGCCAGAGGCGCAGCCAGAGTCCCCACCCCAAGTACCGTCACAGGCGCAGCAGGAGCACGGAGATGAGTCGTAGCCTCAGCGACTACCAGAGTCGGAGCCAGAGCGCCTACGAAACCAAAGGCCAAACTACATCCAAACCCCAAAGCAAGAAAGCCAGTTAGAAATACTTTCGGTTCAAGAAAGGTGTTGGAACCGGCACCAGGAAGACCGTGTGGCGGGTCCTCGCTAACCCGTGTGGCGGGTCCTCGCTAACCCGTGTGGCGGGTCCTCGCTAACCCGTGTGGCGGGTCCTCGCTAACCCGTGTGGCGGGTCCTCGCTAACCCGTGTGGCGGGTCCTCGCTAACCCGTGTGGCGGGTCCTCGCTAACCCGTGTGGCGGGTCCTCGCTAACCCGTGTGGCGGGTCCTCGCTAACCCGTGTGGCGGGTCCTCGCTAACCCGTGTGGCGGGTCCTCGCTAACCCGTGTGGCGGGTCCTCGCTAACCCGTGTGGCGGGTCCTCGCTAACCCGTGTACACGGAGTTCCCTCCAACTCCTTCCATGAGCCAATGGTCGGCGCCGTCAGTGGGTCAGAGAGCAACAAGGCCGCACCAATTCCAGAATGGCATCAAACGCTACAAAACAACAAGTCTGGAAATAAACAATTAAACTATTTGCAAAGTGAGAGCAAGAGTCAAGTTCAAAAGAGCAGGAAGAGCGGTGCCGAGGCTCTCTTGCCTTAAAGGAAGAGCGGTGCCGAGGCTCTCTTGCCTTAAAGGAGACGCTCCCGTTGGGGCAACACTCACACACCGGCTTGTATGGCTCACCCCTAACTCACCATACATATATACATACATACATATATATATATATATATATATATATATATATATATATATATATATATATATATATATATATATAATAAAATATAATTAGATATAGGGTAAGAAAACAACAACAGGAAAGGGTGGTAGAATCAAAGAACATAGAAACAGTATTGGAGGGGACATAAAAATCCGCTCTAATGCGTTGTGTGTGCTTTTCTCCGAGGCTAAGGGTCCCCTTCTCACACCCAGTGTGTGTGTGTGTGTGTGTGTGTGTGTGTGTGTGTGTGTGTGTGTGTGTGTGTGTGTGTGTGTGTGTGTGTGTGTGTGTGTGTGTGTGTGTCTATGTGTATATGTGTGTGTATATATATATATATATATATATATATATATATATATATATATATATATATATATATATATATCCTACACACAGGGGAAACACAAACCTTCAGACCAAACAGAGGTCAAACTAACTTTACACAGAGACCAAACTGACCGCAGCCAAGATAACACCCAGACCGCGGCCAAGATAACACCCAGACCGCGGCCAAGATAACACCCAGACCGCGGCCAAGATAACACCCAGACCGCGGCCAAGATAACACCCAGACCGCGGCCAAGATAACACCCAGACCGCGGCCAGAGACGCGGCCAAGATAACAGGCAGACCGGGGCCAAGATAACAGCCAGGATGCAGACAAAGACGCCACAGACACCATCTCCAGCAGCAGCAGCAGCACGCCGCCACACCTCCCGCGAGGCACCAAGAGCGAGGTGGTGGTGGTGCAGCAGGAGGAGTGAGGCTGGTGAACTATGAGGGTGTGAGGAGGAGCAGCCTGGCCCAGCACACGGCTCCCTCACCACCCTCCACCACCCCGTCACCACACGCTCATCAGGTCTCACACGGGGCACCAGCCAGTTTTCAGTTGCATATTGGCTTGGGCACCATTCAACCTTGTTCATATTATGTACATTATATATATATATATATATATATATATATATATATATATATATATATATATATATATATATATATATATATATATATATATATATATATATATATATATATATATATATATATATATATATATATATATATATATATATATATATATATATATATATATATATAGCAACAAGAGACTGGAGGGCCAAGGTGGCACCAGACAAGAGTGCCACACACATCAACAAGACACGGGAGGGCCAAGGTGGCACCAGACAAGAGTGCCACACACAGCAACAAGAGACGGGAGGGCCAAGGTGGCACCAGACAAGAGTGCCACACACAGCAACAAGAGACGGGAGGGCCAAGGTGGCACCAGACAAGAGTGCCACACACAGCAACAAGAGACGGGAGGGCCAAGGTGGCACCAGACAAGAGTGCCACACACACAGCAACAAGAGACGGGAGGGCCAAGGTGGCACCAGACAAGAGTGCCACACACAGCAACAAGACACGGGAGGGCCAAGGTGGCACCAGACAAGAGTGCCACACACAGCAACAAGAGACGGGAGGGCCAAGGTGGCACCAGACAAGAGTGCCACACACATCAACAAGACACGGGAGGGCCAAGGTGGCACCAGGCAAGAGTGCCACACACAGCAACAAGACACGGGAGGGCCAAGGTGGCACCAGACAAGAGTGCCACACACATCAACAAGACACGGGAGGGCCAAGGTGGCACCAGGCAAGAGTGCCACACACAGCAACAAGACACGGGAGGGCCAAGGTGGCACCAGACAAGAGTGCCACACACATCAACAAGACACGGGAGGGCCAAGGTGGCACCAGGCAAGAGTGCCACACACATCAACAAGACACGGGAGGGCCAAGGTGGCACCAGGCAAGAGTGCCACACACATCAACAAGACACGGGAGGGCCAAGGTGGCACCAGGCAAGAGTGCCACACACATCAACAAGACACGGGAGGGCCAAGGTGGCACCAGACAAGAGTGCCACACACAACAAGAGACTGGAGGACAAAGATGGCCCCTCTCCCTTCTCCCTCTCCCACTCCCCCCATGGCACTCACACCAATAAACGCCAGGTATGGCACCTCCCCAGCCTGGGAGTCCTCTGGTGCCTCCAATAAAGGCACCAATACCCAAGTCCACCAACACTCCCCAATTTACTATTCACCCCACAAAAAAAAAATACAAAAATAAAATATCCAAATAAAAAAAAAATAAAAAAAAATAAAAAAAAATAAAAAATAATAAAAGTATCCAATAATTTTAAATTTTCAGTGAGCAGTTTCATCATGTTGGGAATTGCCTCATTATACTGGTAATTAAGGCAGACATTTACCTCATTATATTGGTAGTTAGGGCAGACATTTACCTCATACATGGCAGTCATATACCTGACTCTAGTGGGCATGACCCGAGGGGGGCAGGACACTAGTGGGCATGACCCGAGGGAGGGCAGGACACTAGTGGGCATGACCCGAGGGAGGGCAGGACACTAGTGGGCATGACCCGAGGAAGGGCAGGACACTAGTGGGCATGACCCGAGGGGGGCACGACACTAGTGGGCATGACCCGAGGGAGGGCAGGACACTAGTGGGCATGACCCGAGGGGGGCACGACACTAGTGGGCATGACCCGAGGGGGGGCAGGACACTAGTGGGCATGACCCGAGGGGGGCACGACACTAGTGGGCATGACCCGAGGGAGGGCAGGACACTAGTGGGCATGATCCAAGGGGGGCACGACACTAGTGGGCATGACCCGAGGGAGGCAGGACACTAGTGGGCATGACCCGAGGGGGGCAGGACACTAGTGGGCATGACCCGAGGGGGGCAGGACACTAGTGGGCATGACCCGAGGGGGGCTGGACACTAGTGGGCATGACCCGAGGGGGGCAGGACACTAGTGGGCATGACCCGAGGGGGGCTGGACACTAGTGGGCATGACCCGAGGGGGGCAGGACACAAGTGGGCATGACTCGACGGGGGAAGGACACTAGTGAGCATGACCCGAGGGGGGCAGGACACTAGTGGGCATGACCCGACGGGGGCAGGACACTAGTGGGCATGACCCGAGGGGGGCAGGACACTAGTGGGCATGACCCGAGGGGGGCAGGACACTAGTGGGCATGACCCGAGGGGGGCAGGACACTAGTGGGCATGACCCGAGGGGGGCACGACACTAGTGGGCATGACCCGAGGGGGGCAGGACACTAGTGGGCATGACCCGAGGGGGCAGGACACTAGTGGGCATGACCCGAGGGGGGCCAGGACACTAGTGGGCATGACCCGACGGGGGAAGGACACTAGTGGGCATGACCCGAGGGGGGCTGGACACTAGTGGGCATGACCCGACGGGGGCAGGACACTAGTGGGCATGACCCGAGGGGGGCAGGACACTAGTGGGCATGACCCGAGGGGGGCAGGACACTAGTGGGCATGACCCGAGGGGGGCAGGACACAAGTGGGCATGACCCGAGGGGGGCAGGACACTGGTGGGCATGACCCGAGGGGGGCAGGACACTAGTGGGCATGACCCGACGGGGGCAGGACACTAGTGGGCATGACCCGAGGGGGGCAGGACACTAGTGGGCATGACCCGAGGGGGGCAGGACACTAGTGGGCATGACCCGAGGGGGGCAGGACACTAGTGGGCATGACCCGAGGGGGGCAGGACACTAGTGGGCATGACCCGAGGAGGGCAGGACACTAGTGGGCATGAACCGAGCGGGGGGGGGGCAGGACACTACTGGGCATGACCCAAGGGGCCAGGACACTAGTGGGCATGACCCGAGGGGGACAGGACACTAGTGGGCATGACCCGAGGGGGCAGGACACTAGTGGGCATGACCCGAGGGGGGCTGGACACTAGTGGGCATGACCCGAAGGGGCAGGACACAAGTGGGCATGACCCAAGGGGGGCTGGACACTAGTGGGCATGACCCGAGGGGGGCAGGACACTAGTGGGCATGACCCGAGGGGGGCAGGACACTAGTGGGCATGACCCGAGGGAGGCAGGACACTAGTGGGCATGACCCGAGGGGGGAGGGCAGGACACTAGTGGGCATGAACCGAGGGGGGGGGGCAGGACACTAGTGGGTATGACCCGAGGGGGCAGGACACTAGTGGGCATGACCCGAGGGGGGCAGGACACTAGTGGGCATGACCCGAGGGGGGCAGGACACTAGTGGGCATGACCCGAGGGGGCAGGACACTAGTGGGCATGACCCGAGGGGGGCCAGGACACTAGTGGGCATGACCCGACGGGGGAAGGACACTAGTGGGCATGACCCGAGGGGGGCTGGACACTAGTGGGCATGACCCGACGGGGGCAGGACACTAGTGGGCATGACCCGAGGGGGGCAGGACACTAGTGGGCATGACCCGAGGGGGGCAGGACACTAGTGGGCATGACCCGAGGGGGGCAGGACACAAGTGGGCATGACCCGAGGGGGGCAGGACACTGGTGGGCATGACCCGAGGGGGGCAGGACACTAGTGGGCATGACCCGACGGGGGCAGGACACTAGTGGGCATGACCCGAGGGGGGCAGGACACTAGTGGGCATGACCCGAGGGGGGCAGGACACTAGTGGGCATGACCCGAGGGGGGCAGGACACTAGTGGGCATGACCCGAGGGGGGCAGGACACTAGTGGGCATGACCCGAGGAGGGCAGGACACTAGTGGGCATGAACCGAGCGGGGGGGGGGGCAGGACACTACTGGGCATGACCCAAGGGGCCAGGACACTAGTGGGCATGACCCGAGGGGGACAGGACACTAGTGGGCATGACCCGAGGGGGCAGGACACAAGTGGGCATGACCCGAGGGGGGCTGGACACTAGTGGGCATGACCCGAGGGGGGCAGGACACTAGTGGGCATGACCCGAGGGGGGCAGGACACTAGTGGGCATGACCCGAGGGAGGCAGGACACTAGTGGGCATGACCCGAGGGGGGAGGGCAGGACACTAGTGGGCATGAACCGAGGGGGGGGGGCAGGACACTAGTGGGTATGACCCGAGGGGGCAGGACACTAGTGGGCA